CTTTTTGCTTCGTGGAGGGTATGTCATCCAAACTTTACGCTTTTGTCTTTTCACAGAAAAGGGAGGATTTCTAACATGAAGAAGTAGTAAAGGCTTTAAATTAAATAGGGAAATGAACAACAACATACTGCTGTTCCTTTTTGCTCAAGAGACTGCCAGTTTGTGTATCTGACTGATCATTACCTTTGTACCATCTAAGGTTTATTATGCCGTCAGGTTACTATGTCCTCGAAAGACAGCAGAAAACGAAGCAAACACGAATTAGGGATGGAACACCCTGAAGAAGATATTCCCTTCTGTACAGCTCAGAAAGAAACTTAACAAGGCCCATCATAGCCTGGAATTCCATATTATGCTTTTGATTTCACAAATCAGCAGGCTTTAAGCAGTCAGTGGATCATTTGCATAAGTAAGATACAAAGGCAGAAAAAAATCACTGCTTAAAGAAAAAGAATCCAGACTCATCTCTAAGTCTGTAGAAGAATGTACACTCTGGTTCCAGCAAAGCAAAGCTGTGTGTTCAATAGGCTAATCTGACATAGATGAAAATTTATGTTCTAATGCCAACGACTGTCCCCTTAACCACAGCTAGCAGTCTTGTAAAGGCTGAATGATGGCACAGAAGGTATAAGGGATAATAGAGGTGGTTAGCTTGGTGCAGACTCATCTTTACTATTGAAATAAAAAAACTCAAAACGTAATGTGACTGATCAGGTACCAAATATGAATGCCTTTTGCACATTACTCTGGCTGGACATATCCCAGTTACTCTGACTGCTCTCGAGCCCCAGGCAAGAACATGAGTAAGAGTACAATCCATCACATCTACTGTCTGTGGGTCAGCGACCTTGATGTCATCACATAAAAAAACGTATTTGTTAGGTTCCTTCTGATTGCAAGGCATGTAATAAATACCTGTACAACGTAATTTGCGACAGGTAAGTAGGTTTTTAACATTTAAAAATAGTTTTAAAAACTGAGTCGGTGTGCAAATAAAACACAGACTCGATCTTTCCAAGTCCCAAATAACTTCACTCTCTAGCTGACTTTCTACTTTTCACTTGCTGTGAGGAACAGTCAACTATTGGATCCAAATCAGAAAGCTCATATGTTTGGAAAAACTCCTATATTAACATCTGAAATAAAAGCTTAATTTTAAAGCTCCTTTTATAGAAAAATTCAAATATATACAAAGTAGACAGAATAATACAAATTAACCCCACACCACCCTCATGGTCCATCACTGTTTCATCAGTTATCAACTCATGACCAATTTTGTTTTATTTATACCCCCACCTTGTGTTTCCCTAGATATCAAGCCATTTCGTCTCTAAACATTTCAGTAAATCCTTACAATTTTGACTGAACGTTAACAGAATTTATAAGGTTTTGTGTTCGATTTTTCATTGCCTTTTATTTTAAATACCTTTGCTGGGGAAAGAGAGCGAATTGGTGTTTACTGAAATCGAGGAGAAGAAAATTTAGATTCTTCTGTTTTTCTGGAATCTGGGACCCAAATACAGCTGTAAACTTTCCTCCTCCTTCCAATGAAAGAGGACGCAGAGCTGGCAAGATATGGTCATTCAGTTTCACAAACATTAACTGAGCCCTAGGGATGGGGCTAGGTGCTAGAGATACAAAAATAAGTACGACAAAGACTTTCTCTAGAATGGGTGAGACAGACACATAAACAGATAATATCGATATAATGTGGAAAAGCTAGGCTAATTATATTCACAGGGTACTATGGGAACAGACCAGATTAGGTTTCCAAGAAAGGCTTCCTGGAAGAGATGGCATCTGAGTAAATACGAAAGTACTGCAAATGATTGTTCCTGTGTCATTATCCAATATCGAGTTTCCTTCAAACAGATTTCCTTCATTTAGTTGGCTGGGAAACTAAGGGGTAAGGGGAAGGTTCTTCAAAGAATATTAACCTGGAAAGAGAGTAAAATACCAAGAATTGAAAACCCAACCACTATATCGTGACTTGTGGGGAACACCAAAGGAAAAAAGGCTTGGTCTCTATCCTCAAGGAGGTAGGAATCTAGATAGAGAGAAATTAAGCATATAGAACAGGTACTATATGACATTCAAGCAAAATATAGTTTCCAGTTTTCAACCTTTACGGGTCAGAATTTAGGTCAGAGGTTAAAAAAAGACATATAGGTATCTGTGAGTATAGTTTGAAATCTAATCTTTTTATAAATTCAGAAAAATTACTTACATCCTTCATTGGCTTAAGTAAAATGAAGCATGGTAATGTGTTGGCACAGAACCATAAACATGAATGTCAAATCAATCCACGAGACAAAGAGGTAGAGTTGCAAATAAAAACATGTTCTAAAAATGGCATGTTTATCAACAGACTAAAGAAAAGTCTCTGAATATTTCCCATGGAATTGAGGAATGTATCTTTTTCACAATATTTACACAATGCTGAGAACATAAATTATAAGCGACCATATCATATACAGCAATACAGGTAGTCAGTAGGGAAAAAGCATTTGAAATAACTTTTGTCCCTACTGAACAGTAGAAAAATATTACTCCCCAGATAGAGTTAGTTGCTTTTTCTTCTGAGCTCTGACAGCGAATTACATGCAGCTATTTCCAGTGTTTTGTATTATATATATCATATCATATCATATCATATCATATCATATCATATCATATCATGTTATAAATCTTTATGTAGTGTAGTAGTCTTCCCTCCAGACCAAATCCTTGAGGATAAGGTCTGAATTGATTCATTCTGAGATTTAAAACCCATCCCCGCATCTGCTAGAATGAAGGTTTACTGAATGAATAAATGATTTATAGGTGATGTCTAATAAAAATCTCGCTACTATAAAGCCTTATAGAAAAGTTAAATATCAGTTAAGTCATGAGAGGTTTTGTTATTTTAAGAATAGATTCTAGTCTCCTTTGCCTGGCATTTAAGGCCTTTCTACATCGTCCCTAATCTACCTTTTTAACCTTCTCTCATCTACTCCCTTCTCTTAGTCAGATCCTGAATTACTTTCTCCTTCTCTCATAAGCTCTGTGCTTTCTCATTTCTATACTTTTATTCAATAATCTCCACCATTTTAGATTATGCAGCCCTTTCAGTATAAAATATTTGAGCATACTTACTTAATGCTGTGCTAATATACTGTGTATTAGAAAGCAATCATAAAAATAGAATAGACATTTTAAACAAATGAGGTAAAAAATATGAATAGAAGTTTTAATCTTTTCATTCTATATAGAATGCATTGTTTTACATGTACTTCACTTTAAAAATTACTGATTTACAATCAAAAGAACAAATCTCATACAGTTTGTGAAAATTAACTGAATGAAAACATGTAAAGCACTTAACAGCACTGTTCATGCTGGAAACACTATAAATGTCAGTTAATTTCATTAACATCATTATCATCGATGCGGTTTATTTCATCAATGCAGTTTCTTCCACCTGGAACAATGCCCCCATACCTATCCTCTAGCCTCACTCCTGTATGTCTAAGTCCTTGAAGGCCAAATTCAAATGTTATCTCTTCAAAGAATTATTTGAATGCGTCTCTTAAAGGGTTAGGATTTCTCAATGTAGGAGGTACCAAATCCTACAGAGCTTGAAAGAAGATATGCCTAATAAGCAAAAATAAAGCTGGAACAGTTAGAAAAAATTAAGTATGGGTTTATGAAAAATGATATCAATGAAAAAATATGATTAATAAACAGGAGCACCAGTCCCTGGTTCAAAAAGGAAAAATAAAAATACACAAAAAGGAAATATAACCATAGTAAATTGACTCTATAGTAAATAATGTCCAGATAGGCCTAATAATAGAAACAAAATTACTAATTTAAGAAAAACTGGTAATATAAATATATGGGAAAAATGGGGCATTATAACAGCCTTCAAATCCTCAACTTTTATTAGCAAAAATCTAAATAAAGGAGATTAATCACAAACTAGAAATTTGAACATGTTACTTTAAAATTTGTAGTTAAATGCCAGAAGAAACAGCTTAAATATTTCAAAGTGGCTGTCTCTGAGAAATGTTTGAAAGGTAGGACCCTTTAGTACTATTTAATTAAAAAATTTTGTACATATATTATATTGATCACACATTTTGAAAATAAAGGCAATTTTCTTAAATTTCAAAATTAATCACCTTCCACGTAAAGACGGCAAGTTGAGCATATGCATTCAACTCTACTTTCTCCAGAAATCTCAGTAACACAACAGAGAAAAGATTTAGAAAGGCACAGAAATCTCCCCTAAAGAAACAGAGAATAAGAAAAGATAAAAATTTTAATGCAAGAGTTCCAGGGATCAAATAATAAGATGCCAGAAAGAAAGGAGAAAGGCAATCACCAAAGAAATAATTCAAAATTTTTTTCTAGAACCGAAGATGCTGAATTTTTAGATTGAAAGGGTCAAATAATGTCTAACAAAACAGACAAAATACACCCAAACCAGGGCACATCAACATGAAAGTTACGAACAATAGGGAAAAAGAGAAGATCCTGCAAGCTTCCAGGGAGTTGTACAGTGAAATCAGCAGTGAGAATGGCATCTGTTGTTTTTCTCCATGGTAATAGAAGTTAAAAGGCAAGGAAGCAATGTCTTTAAAATTCTAAAAGAAACAGAATTCTATATCCAGTCAACATATCCATGTTAAAAAAAATTTGCATTTTACAACATGCAAAAGCTCAAAATATTTACTTCTATGCTCTTTCTCAGAAATCTATCAGAAGATGTATTCACACAAAACAAGAGAAAAGAAAACAAAAAGAGATGGAATCCAGGAAACGGGAAATCCAAAGATCCTATTGATCAGATCATATTAAAACTGGTCCTGAGTTACTGGTTTTAAGAAGATCAAGTCAATATGAAGGCATTAGGCTGGTTTTTGAAATGTTAAAATATTTCGTGTGCCTTTAGATTTACAGTTGTACTTTTACATCAACCTGAGCATAAAAAGACTGTAAGAGGCTTTAACTCTTACCTGTAACACAGCAGCAAATAAGTAAACTACTATGAAGATTACAGTTAGAGATGTATGACCGCTTTTCATCAAATGAATAGTGTAGAGGAAAATTAAATGTCCAGGAATCACTAAAAGCAGTAGAACTTGAGCAGACTTATTATTTACTCCTGTAATATAAAATGTAAAAGTTATTAAAACAAAGTCATATTTTTGTTAATAATAGGTCACAGTTATTAAAATGTGAGGATTACTTCCCAGTTATTATACTGGATAGCATCACACAAAATTTAATTGCTAAAAATAAATTCCAACTATTTACAATTCACTTAATTCTTTAAAATTCTCACTAAATGTTCTATGTTAATTAAATAAAAGGTAATTGATAAAAATTTACTATGAAGAACATTGGTCAGACTTTAATATCGATCATAAAAATAGAGGGATGACAAAAGAAAAAATAAAACGTTCTTAAAGTACAGAAATATTTTAATTTTAATTTTCCTTTAGAGTCTTTTCGCTGATATGACAAGTCTGGGCCTTTCTGATTCTCACTGAAAGGTCAAAAATTACATTTATTTTCATCAGGAAAAAAAGGCCCGCATTATGAGGTTTACAATTGTTTTAGTTTTTCGGCAATCACAAGCCTGGTTGACATAAACAACGCACTGGTTCCTTGTAATTGAGGTTATCAGCTCTCATCCTGTTAGTCTGGGATCAAATGCCCAAATTTAGAAAGGCCAAAAAGATTAATATAGGAAAGACAGTACGTCTGCCTCCCTAAATCACCTAGCAATGTTTTCTTGTATCTACGAGGTTCCTCTTTCCTGACTCATAAACAGGATATCCCAATGAAAGGGACAAAAGAGAAAAATTATACAAAGTTCCTCAGGAACTGCAGAACTGATAAAAGTGACTTCTTGCTCACTGAGATTTACTGCACAAAACCTATTCTAGTTAAAATCTATTTAGCGATCAGAAATAGAAAAATGTAACAATCACAAACGAAATATATACTCAACAAAGCTTGCCTGCCTATACTCACAGAGAGTAACAGTTCTTAAAATAACATATTCAAAAGTCCACAAGTACATACCTGGACCAAAAAAAGTTCGAAATGGGTAGTAACAAGTTTTAGGTTCCTCAGGTAATTCTCCTGGAATGCTATGTAAATGGAGGTAGGTAGAAATCCTGCTAGCCTGAATGGCCACCAAATTACCACCAATACCTGAAACACAGGAAAAACAAAGTAGTTATTCTCATATTTTAAACAACTTGCATAAATTCAACCAAATGTAAGGCTCTTTATGTCACATTCTGGGCCAATAACTGTGACATATTATTAACCAAAACATGAAATGCTTATTTATTTAATGTTGAAGTAGATTTTCCAAAGGCATAAAATAAAACCACTGTTACGAAAGACTTATTCATTATTTTTTCAAATCTGACCTCCGTCTGGTCTAAAAGCAGACTGAACTAAGTAATTTTTAAAAATTACTATCACAACTAAGAAATAAAGCTAGGTAACAAGATGTGTCATGTTCCTCATCGTAATGAGAGAGAGAATAAGCTAAATTTATTCAAATAGACAAGGCTTAATACTTTTCTTCTCAGCTTACTAAAGAAATTGGTGTACAGCACTAAAAAATATACTCAAGAAAGTCACCTTTTAACATAGATTATCCTCTCATATACTCCGAGGAAGAGGAGACAGTGCTGAGAAGTAAAATTAATTCCAAAGTGTGGTAAGCTCCCCCAAGGTGAGACAAGACACCCAAACTCTTTCTTCTTTTACAGAGTATGGGAGGAGAGGCAGTAGCCATAAAAGCAAGAAGGAAAACACTGAAAATTACAAATACTTAAAATGCTGAGTGTGAGCTGGCATAACCATTTAGAATAACACCTGGGAGTCCTAGACACAAAAAGAATCCACATTCATTTGCCATTTATTTCTGTAAGCCTTCACCAGGTGCTGGTGAGACAGACTGAGGTAGGGCAGAGGACTCGAGATAGCCAACCTCAGAGGCACACAGGCAAGAAATCACATCTATCTATTTCTGAATCCCTCTCCCATATGAAGCATAACCTGCTTGGGATGATAAAGAAAACATACTCACTACCTGATCCCCAAGAAAGATCAGTTGCCACTTCAGGAAAAATAGAAGCTGGAGGAGTGGAAGAAAATCTTCTGCTCAAGCCCGGTCTGACAGTTTGACTGTCAGTAGCAGGAGGGGAAGAAAAGCTGAGAAAGCCTCACCTCTGAGGACCAAATATATAGGAACTGCTTAAGATTAAGAATAGTGCAAGAATCCCAATCTCCATCCTATGCCTTGCACCAAGTAACAAGCATCAGCAGCCTACTATGAAAAAAGGAGCAGGAGTACAGACAGTTAAGCCTTCCATGATGCAGGCATAAAGCACTTCAGACTTCACACTAAGCTTAAGATAGCAGGAGCTCATCAATAAAGAAATTCGAAGTCAGTGGTGCGCTGAGGGTAACTATAATAATCACAGAAAACAAACCCAGCTCAACTACTGACTAGATTAGCTCAATCCTCCAAACTAATGACCTAACGGAAGGAAAAGCCTGTTTACTTCTAGGCATAAATTGTTGCTAAACATCCTACAGTGCACAGGAAGCCCCACAACAATAAGGAATTATCTGGCCCCAAATGTCAGTAATGTCAAGATTGAGAAACCCTGTAGTAAAGAAATTGATGTATGCCTCCACTACCTGAAAACTGAGAAAACTATCCCTAAATAACGTGTGAATTAAAGAAGAAAGCATGATAGAAATTAGAAAACATTTGTAATTAAATGGCAATTAAATACTACATACAAAAGCAGATGGGATACAGTTAAAACAGTATTAAGAGGCACACTTATAGTCTTAAATGCATATATTAGAAAAGAAGGAGGCTTACTGAACTAAGCATCCATCTCAAGAAGTTAGAAAAGACAGAAAAATAAACACAAAGTAGGAGAAGGAAAATAATGAAAAGAAGAAATTAGAAAGAGCAATAATAGCTAAACATTGGCTATTTGAAAAGAAAAAAAGTAGTAAAACATCGGGAACAAAAAAAAGAGAGTCATAATTCCAATTATTGACAACATTAAAAAAATAAGAATATTATAACCAACTTTATTGCCAATAAACTTAAAAATTAAAATAAATATAAAAATATCCTAATATACATAACAAAATTAGGAAGAAATAGAAACTCTGAATCATTCTATAGTGATTAAAGAAATTTAATACACAATTTAAAATCTTCCGCCAAAATCACCAGGCCCGCATATATTTTCTGCTTTGTTGGTTTTTTCCCAAGTGAGTTCTATGAATATTTAAGCAACGAATAATTTCAATCTTACACATATTACTTGGGATGGTAAAGGAAAGTATAAAATAAGAATAAGTATATCTAACTCATATAATGAGAGTCTAGTATAACTCTGGGTTCAAAATCCAAAAACGGAAATATGAAAAAGGAAAATTATAGGCCAATCCCATGAATAAAAATAAATGTAAAAAAAATACTAAACAAATTATTAGCAAACAGAATCCAGCAATATATGAAACGTATAACACATTACGACCAAACTGGATTTATCCTACGAATACAAGATTGATTTAATATTTGAAAATAAATTAATGCGACTCATCACATTAACCAATAAAGGTAGGAAAAGAAATAATATCATTATATAAATGAATGCAGAAAAAAAATAGTAAAATTCAACATTTTATCATTTAGGATTAAAAACTCTTAGAAAATCAGGAATTGAGGAGGACTTCTTTAGCAGATAAACACACGTAAACACAAAACCTGAGATATGACAAAGGAGGTACTGCAGATCAATTAAGAATGCTATACCTCTGCTCAGCAAAAGAAACCATCAACAAGGTAAAGAGACAACCATCCGAATGGGAAAATATATTTGTAAGCAACACCTCCAATAAGGGCCTAATATCCAAAATATACAAAGAACTCATACGACTCAATAACAACAAAAAACCCAAATGATCCAATCAAAAAATGGGCAGAGGACCTGAACAGACACTTCTCTCTAGAGGACATACAAATGGCCAACAAATATATGAAAAGATGCTCAACATCACTAGCTATTAGGGAAATGCAAATCAAAACCACAATGAGATACCATCTCACACCTGTTAGAATGGCTATAATCAACAGGACAAGTAGTAACAAATGCTGGAGAGGATGCAGAGAAAAAAGGAACTTTTATACACTGCTGGTGGGACTGCAAATTGCTACAGTCACTATGGAAAACAGTATGGAGGTTCTTCAAAAAACTAAGAATTGATCTATTATAAGATCCAGCAATTCCTCTACTGGATATTTATTTACCCCAACCACTTGAAAACCCATGTCCAAAAGGATATCTACACACCAATGTTCATAGCAGCATTATTCACAGTGGCCAGGACATGGAAGCAACCAAAGTGTCCTACAATAGATGATTGGATAAAGAAGCTGTGGTACACATTTACAATGGAATATTACTCAGCCATAAGAAGAGATGAAATACAGCCATTTGCGACAATATGGATGGACCTCGAGATAATCATGCTAAGCAAAATAAGCTAGACAGAAAATAAGCTAGTTGAAAGTCACATGATATCACTTATATGTGGCATATAGACATAAAAGCAATAAATCAACAGGACATACAGAGACTCATGAACATGAACTATAGACTAGTGGTTACCAGATGGTAACGGATGGGGGGAGGGGAGAGGTAGACGGGATAAAGAGCTTCAAATATGTGGTGACAGAAAGAAATCTAACTATAGAAGGTGAACACACAGTGAAAATATATATATGCCTTACTGTTAAAGTGTACAGCTGAAACTTTTTGGATTTCGTTAACCAATGTCACTATAAAAAATAAATAAATAAATTTATAATACGAAAAAAAAATGCTATAGACTTTTCAATAAATCATGCAGTGATAATTGGTTATTAATATGCCCCCCAAAAAGCCCCATGAAATTGGACCCTTATTCTAACACTATACACAAAAATCAATTCCAGGTGGATTAAAGACGTTTTGTGAAAAGCAAAATTATTAAACTTTAGAAGATAATGTAGAATGGATGGGAAGGGCTGATTTTTTGAAAACATAATAGAAAAACAGCAAACCATAAAGAAAAGCATTGATAAATTCGTCTACAGTATAATTTAAAAATCTTGTTCATCAACATACATCATAGAGAAAGTGAAAAGACAAGCCTCAAAGTGGATGAAGATGTTTATAACACAAAGGACAACTGTCTAGAATATATGAAGAATTCCTACAAATGAACAGAAAAAAGGAGAAAAGAACAGAGTTCACAAAGAGGTTGATCCAAATTGCTAGTAATCTTTATGAAAAAGTACTTTAAGGTGCTGGCTTAAATACTGGTTACTCAGTAGCTTGCCTTATAATTATTCTTTTAAACTACATGTACTTGTATTTTGCATTTATTCCACATTACTAAAAATGGGAAAACCTAGAAATAGCAAAACCTAGAAAAAATATATAAATAAACTAGGTACTGGAAAAAATACCCACTATTTATTTACAAATCAGGTTATCAAAATTTAAACTTAACAGACAAGAATATTTTCAATGCAATGTCTCTGTATACCCACACATAGAAAAACATTTTAAATCTTTTTTATATATTCTAACATCAACAGCAACAACAATAAAGAAAATAAAAGGCAATCTGAAAAATAATCAGCAAGAAATAACATCTAAAGAAAAATCTCTAAAAATCAAACAGAACAGCTAAATGCTACGTTAAAGCAGACAAAGCACTTAAAATTCCTACTATTAATACAGATTATCCCTCAAGATGAGTTAGTCCACACTGCTCACTTAGGAGGCAGTTACCGTATTATTTTCATGAGTGAATGACAGGGCAACAGAGTGGAAAGATCATTGGTTTTACAGTCAGAAGACATAATGTGAGTCTCAGCTCTACTTTCTGGCTTTGTTATCCTGGCCATGTTAGCTTAACCTCCTTAGGCCTTTGTTACTTAATTTTTGCAAAATGACAATTTAAAATATCTGCTCTAAATATTGTTTTATAATCCTTAAAATGCTATAAAAACAAATACAACCCAAATTATAGGTAAATGTGCCAATTCAATGAGTTTACCTAGATCACCCCATTTAAAATTATAGCCCCTTAACCTAACATTCCCAATGCACCTG